TAAATAATAATTATACTACACACACACACACACACACACACACACACACAAATTATAGATTGCTTGTTTAAGCATAAATCGCGCGAAGCCACTTAATTACCAAGTGTGATTGAAACACCAAGCTTCGGTCGATTAGCAAGGTCATTCATGCGCTGGAGTTTCTTCTCCAATCTACAAAATTATTGTTACTGAATTGTTTTCAATATTTCCTTGACATCTTATTAGAAATGTAATATATAAATTTTAACAAATTGCTTTTATAATCTAAATGTTTATTGTATTCATATCGGTTGCAATTATAGAAAAAAAAAGATCAAATTAAATAATATTCCAAGAAACATTAACTTTATTATATAGATGGCTCTCTTACATCGCATGCTATATTCAAACGCATAATACGTGCTGTTTGATAAGAAGCGGAATCCTTAGAATGTTCCTACTATTGGGTTCTCGTAAGATTAATTAATATTTACATACCCGGAGTTGTGTGTCCGATACGATGTTTCTCTTTAGTCGGCTGACCCGCGAGCTGTTGACATGTGGTAGTCGCTGAGACAGTTCCAGTGTCCTCGTTGGTTACTACTATCGAATCGTAACATGCAACAGTGCAAAGCCAACCCACCAGACTTTCACTTAGTTCAAAGGATTTGAATCTGAGTAAGCTATGGAATTGTTAAGGTCCTAATTCTTAGACAATGATGATATTAGCACTTTTCAAATATATTGAATTATGATGTTAAAAGCGAAAACTCATATAAGAAAAAAATATAAAAGATATCTTTCGCTTTTAATATCATAATCCAATAGTAGCAGTGAGAGACTAGGAGTCTTAATTTCGCTCAACATAAGCAATTATGTTTGTTTACTTAGCCTTTGCACCTTTTCCATACAACACAAGGTAACAAAAAATTTATATAATTATGTGTTATATAATTATATGCGCTTTTAAAAAGCTAAAATTAAAGCTTTTGCGCTCCCTTGTTTAACTAAAAGAAATATATTTTGCATTAACAAAACAAAAATAAGAGGAGCCTGCTGTTATTTCTTCCTAAGAGTATCCTACCTACCGTAACAGATCGTTTGAACGACAAAATATGAAGAAATTTCATATTTAATTCTAGTAATCTTAAAAAGATGATTTGTGATATTTTACGTGAAACGCGATATAAAATAATAGCCATTAGTGTTTCTTAAAATGTTTAATCAAAATTTTCAAAAAAGAGCTTGGTTGGCATTTAGCAGATCCGATATGCCACGTAATAAATAATTTACAAAATATAAATATATATTGATAATACATTATCCTTTTAATCTAAAATATCTACTTTGAATAATCTATAAATAAGAACTTTGGACGAATGCAAAGGGCATTCGGATTGCAATAGCCATATCATGCTGCTTCGCCAAAACACCAACAGCTTGATCAAATTGTGAATAATAAACGCACTTTTGGCAGTTACAAATTGTACATTTTTATGAAATTGATTTGTTGAAAAACTTTTCTTTTTCAGGCATAGCATATTGTGCACGATGTATAATCTATAATAGTATCTATATGTTATAGTCTCTTCACTTATATATAAGAGATCATTTTTTTCTGAATATTTCATGTGCGAAAATCGATAGGAGACCATAAGAAAATTGATTTCAATTCTTAATTTTCATTCAATATTCACGATTAAGGCAGCAGATAAGTTTCTTACGTAATATTTTTTTTACATTGAATATAAGTCTAACAGTTATAGTTTTTATTTCAGACACATCACAAAGAACTTATAATTTAAAAAATATTTTTATTTTAGAAAAAATGTCTTATCATATACATATTATGAAGTAACTAAGAATAAAAGTTAATTTTCCTTTCCTTCTTTTAATTCATTTTGTTTAACATGCAACACGTGTTAACATGTCTTTTAAAAAACACTTATAGATAATATCGAAGGTGTAAATAAATAGATAATTCCAATATTTTTATTGGAAATTCCAACAAAATGATATTTAACTGCAAAAAGTGAGAGTATTTAACAAGTGTTTAATTAATAGCCTAGAGCAAAAGCGAGTCAAATACAATGAGTTTGAAACATAATGAATCTTCCTTACCGTAATATTATATATGACTTAACAGTACCAACATTTGTTTAAACATCAGCCCTTAATACGTTTTGTCTATGTATTACTTAAATGTTAGATTTCAACATCGGCACACTGAACTAATTTCCAAGTATCGATAAAATACCTTGCCACGTATCACACGTATGTCACACATTTTATCAGAATACGCAAAATGATTGGATTATACAATAACTTACCAGAGTGAGGTGGCGCGAGGAGAGATCGACTAGAGCTGAAAAATGGTCTTAGCGATGGCTTCGGTGTACTACTAACAGACATGGTATCCAATTCTGGTCCACTGTCCGACAAGTCTTCTAATTCATCAAATAATTCTTCTATTTCCATATCACCGCCTTTGATAAAACATTTAAATAAAAAATTTATTTTAAAACTGACCCTATTTATTTAATGTTTCTAAAATTGGTTTTAAGATTTAAAAATAACGTTACATAACATTACATACAGAAAACTTTTATTAAAGAAAGCTGAATTTCTTACACTAATTTTCTTCATAATTTCTTTATTATACACACCCGAAAGTTTCTGCCCAATTTCCTCTTGATCATGCTCCAACTCCTCGGATACTCTAAATCGCTTTAGCAGAGCTATAAACTTTTGCTTTAAATTTCTTTGCTGTAAAATACAATAAATAAACATGAAAATCTGATGGAAACATAATAAGAGATGAGGGATTTTAGGCTAAATAAAAATATTGTGCGCACCCTGGCATTTGGTGGGATTTTTCCACGACTCTTTCGCCTATGTACTTCTAACGTAGGCTCACTATCGCTGCCTTCCGCCTCGCCCTCCGAGCTAAATTCTTCCTCTTCGTCGCTGAATTCTGGACATAGCCTCTCGTTGGGATCAATCGTCAGTCTTTTATCATGGTCAACCGGCTGGGAACTTAGGGCAACAACGCTCACACGCGCCAGTGGAACCGCGTGACCACCGTACTTCTCTGCTTTATCCGATATCAGTTCCAATTCGAGATCCATTTGCTTTTGTAGCACCTATAAAAAGTTAAAAATTATTATAATGAAAAAAAAATCTAAATAAAATTTATCTGCCCGAAACGTAACATCAACAATACAATACATCTTTGTCTTTTTCGGAAAATATATCTTATAGATTACATTAGACTATTACATTAATTATTTATACCAATAAAGTTGTTTTATTTGATATAAAAATATGAATTTTGTGCAAAAAAATAAATCTAAAATAAATTTTATGTTTGGAAAATAAGATCGCGAACTTACTTGCGCCATGTTAACGATCCCTTCCGCGAGCGTCTTGTATCCGAGCATCGTACGATTCTTATATCGCTTTCGCCTCTGCAATAATATCAAGAGTTTGTTGCCGTCCCTCTTGAGAAAATGCGGATACTGAAGGGCAAATTGCAATTCCAGCTCCGTGTCGAGTATGCCACCGGTGGGTATAGCCATCTCGTTGGAACGCAAAGTTCTTTTGGAGCTCTGCATCTTGACCGCGATGCTGATGGACGCTAGATCCGAGCCGAGCGGTCGGAGTATCACTAATCGAGTTAACGTCAGGGAACACAGCCTAAAAATAAAGCGAAACCAAAAGCGAGATATTATTTCAAGAGGACTTAAGGACCTAAGACTCAAGGATATTTTAAGGTTCGAGCCAAAGATTTCCTGATGGACGACATCCGATCGAAGATATATTCATCGGCACAAGTATAAATAATCAAAAGACCAAAAAAAAAAAAAATAGTTTATATACGAGTACCTCAGAGTTAAACCAAACGTAAATGCCATGGCGTAGCTATTAATCTATATACGCAATTTGAAGACTTCTATGGGGCTACGCGAGTATCGGATAATATCGATCAATATAATTCCTTTCCGAGTGGGGAAACGATCGGCGTGACAACCAAGGTATCTACGAGGTACATATAAGGCTCGTTCGACAGGTAAAAACGGACGTCGTATATATTTATCCTGTATGAGGATGAAACCAAATCAATCCAAGGAAGAACCAAAAAGAAAGAGAGAATTATTAATTTTGCCAAACATGTGTGACATTCAATGTCTCTTGTATCGGGGTATTTCTGTATGTGAGTTAACGTTAATGCGACCGATCATCAATTTTGTGATGTTCACAGATGAATAAAGAAGAATCACGAGCAGCAAATCCCGGATACTCTTGAAAAATTCCGGCGGGAAGATATTCTCGACGAGCACGCAAGACAATCGTGCAATCTGTAAAAATCGATTCAACGGATTTTTGCCAAGAAGTTACCAGAGCCAGCTTGAAGGAAATTAATGGAAGTCTTCGATGGAGAAAAACAGGCTAAATGTACCGAACGACGGCATTCTTTGGCAGGGGAAATAGAAAAAGTGGTATCCTCGTACGATGGGCACTTGAATTTCGTCGGAGATTGTGTGTGGGAGAATAAAAGGCCGTACGACTGAAATCTGGCACAGCGAGCAACTCTTTTTATGGAATATAAAAATTTTCTTTCACGGCCAATCGGTCCTTACTCCGTTTCCGAGCTCCCTTCCTACATAATTTACTTCTCGATGATACGCGCGATAGAGTCTATACCAAGTGGAAAACATCGTCGACGAAACCCTTATTAAGCGCGGAGAGGGGGAGAA